CGGGTAACTAGGTAATTGGTTATATCAACTAAGTTGAAATAGTAAATTGGCCACCGTAACGAATAGAAAAGATGACGTTTCATTGATTTAATCTGAGTTGATTTAGTCTGACCACCTAGAAATTGCAACCAGACTCTAAGGTTCGCAAGGCCGTCAGATGAAAGGGGTTTCCATTGTTAGATAAGTTGATTTTCAATAACACGTCGCCTCGCACGTGCAAAAGATGAGTCGACTGTGGCTCTGTAAGTGAAAGGGTTGAAAGCTTTGGTGTCTGCGTCACCATCTTCCCCGCTGAGAACAAAAGAAATTCTGAATTTGAAGAATAATTAGGAATAAAAGAGAGATTTTACTGGAAAAACTGTTACAGTAACAGGCTGCAGTGTTTTTCACATTTATATTTAATCATTGTAAGGAAAAAATCCAAGGATTTGAAAGATAAAATATCATCTCGGCGAGTCATTTTCCTTTTAATAATCATTCCACCTTACCAAACAACTTAAAAATGCAAGAATAGATTATTAGTTTTTTCGATGACAATTCTCAAGTATAAACACTTAATATGGTATCCCACCCCATAATGTAGCACGTGTTTATCAGGCGGAGTGCATTTCATGAATGCCTCACTTCAGTTATTTGGAAAACTGACACAACATATATTCTCTTAGGCTCCACTCTGTAGGGCCTCTGCCTTTGATTTGGAGAGCACAAAGATTTCAATAGACACAATAAACTGATAAACGATCGATCAGAAGCTGTCAACAGGTTCTCGGGGTGTGTTCTCTCCACAGCATTTGAAGTAAATGTTGCCTCAAAAATATCGCTGCATTTCTTGCAAGGTGGAAAGTTCTCATCGACAATTTAGCCCATCTTGGTTCACTGTTATCAAAGGTTAACTCTTCATGATAACTTAAATGCAATGTTCATGAACTTTGATATGCAACGGCTTTCTCTGAGAAATCTACGCGAGAGAGCACACCTTTCTTTCATGCCTGCGGGTATCAAGTTTTTGCAGTACACAGAGTACTTCAAAATTGTTGACAATAGACTTGGCATATATCCATCAACAGCGCAAGTTTTCCAGAAAACGGAAAAATCGATCGATAAGTACACGTAACAACATACGCGTACACGTAAAAAAACATAATGATTAAAGGGAGTAAGTTTCTGAAGAAACTGTGGTGCTGCGTCAAAGGGGGAAACAAAACAAGTAACGAAAAAAAGGGAAAAAAATCCTTCTTCACTTTACATTTTTAAAAACCTGTTTTACTAAAATTTAAGCAGGTTATTTCTGCGATACTAAGAGACTCA